AGCCACCGGTGGCTCATAATGTCATCAACGTGTTAGAAAAGGGGAGCCTGCTCGTGAGGCTTTATCGAAGACAATACGGTTGGTCCGGAGCTCGGCTTATATACGCTCACTTATGAATTCTTTCTATAGCAAGAAGCTTTCATGCTTTTGCAGTGTGTTGTTGCATAAATTATCGTCACATAAGGAGACGTGGAATGGAAAGAAATAGAACTTCAATTAGCGAAGTTTCTGTCATATATTGAATACAAATCGAGTGAATAATTGAATTCTTCAATCGCCCTTCTCTTCTGGGCAGCTTCCAGCTCCAATTCACATTAGTTCTTTCTGGACGAGATTAGCCTCATTCCCAGTGTACGTTTGTTGGGATTGAACTGTTCACAGCCACCTGCCGCGCTCAGGTGATCCGCGAATTGCCTCCACGCATTTGGCATCCAGATCCGCACTCGCAGAGTGTACCTTCTTCCTCGATCCCTTGTTTTGAAAGGACAAGATAAAGCGGCCGCAGACACGTGACTCTTGATCATTCCAGTCTGCAAGGCAACGACTTACATGGTGAATCACATGTAGGCATTCTGTTGCCTGGAGCGTCGTAAGACGATTCCAATATTGTCGTCGAACAGTATCAACTTGTCGAGAATTTCACGAGCTCCCGAGTTGTTTTGTTTTCTTTGGCTACCTTTCCAGGAAAAAAGCAAGCAGTAGACGTCCACCTCACATGACGCCGCTTGAGTTATGCAATATCGCTGGCAATAGCTCGTCGTTCATTGCTCACCGCAGTCCTACGTGAGGTTGCAGGGTATCGAGTCGTCAGAAAGTCCGAAGAACTCGTACTCGTAGGCTGTACAATGGGGTTATTTGACTGCTGTTACCTTCAGGGGTATCTTTTAGTTCCTTCCCTTCTGACGTCTACTGGTTCATTACTAGAGATCCGTCACCCGCAATACATAATCGTGTAAATTATCTTTAAGTGTTCCCAGTCGAAACAACCGAATTCTTGGAAGCGAAATCCCATTGAGGGGAGGGGGAGGGGGTCGTACTCAATGAAACTTTGGTTACATGCTTATGCGACGCTATTAGATTCAGTATAATGAGACTCAATCGTTTAGAGTAGGCCGGGCGCAGTTAGTCGTACCGGGGGGCCTTTTGCACTTTTCGCGCATCCACGGTGGTAGCTCCCGCTGCCTCATCGCACGTGCAAAGCCACAATGAACACTCTGTGAGAATCTTTGTTGTTAGGACACAGAAAGCATAATAGTGGCAGAATAGTTTATTAGTCCACCTGTCAATCCTTGTAAAGATTACCTGTCAACACTTGTAAAGCGTTGGAATAGCGTAAGCTTCATTTTTACTAGTCTTCTTCTCGGTTTATTCTCGTTTATAATCATTTGTTTTCATAGAGTATTCTGCCATCATCATCTACGAGACTGCGGGGAGGGTCAGTGCGGCTTGCGTTCTGGCGCCGGTCGTGCCGCCACCGTTCGGGTGCATAATCTTGAACAGGAAAGTGACATTATCGTCGCATTATATCCTTCGTGAGGACTCGTTGCTCTACCACTTTTTGTGTATAGAGTTTCACGAAAAGGCTGTAGAACGGCTTCAAACAGTGTGCGTCACTGTCCTAGCTGGGTGATACGCGCAATGCAGTCCGTAATGATGAGAACTGGTAAACAAATCTACAGTTGGAGGAATGGTGCTTTGGTGCGACGAAGTGTGCGCAGAAACGTGCTAGGGCTTGAACGCTTCACCGGTACTAGCTTGGTAAGTTACGGACGGAGGTCTGATGTACGCATTCTTTGTTCTTTGTCGATCGTGAACGGAAGGGCCTAAGTTGTTTCTTCGTAGCCGTTCCGTTTCTGCCGGCCCTATTTCCCCTTGCTTCTTTCAGATAGGTGGTGCGTTGACAACTGGCAGGTTTAGACATTGCGTACCGCGGCGTTCGCGGAAACGAAACGGCCGACGTCTTTTTGTACGACGCGACTCAATGGCGCGCGCGAGGTATAAAAAAAAGATTTTTATGCATATGATTTTAATACATATGACATAAAAATAATGCATCTACTTCGTATTATACATTACACTTGTATGCATGACTGTGATAAGTAAAACTGGATACCATTACGTGATAAACGTGATGGGCTAAAAACATGCGAAAATTGACAAAAAGGTTAATAAATTCAAAAGGATTGGAAACAGGAACGTAATATTGTTTTATTAAATTGTTCAGCTTTAGCTATTTTGCGAATTTTTAGTGGAGTCACAGCCAGAATTTTAACTGACTGGTTACTAAGAAATAAACAAAGGATATAGTAGCTGAAGAATTTCCCGAAAAATTTCGATAACTCAGCTCTAGTTCGGTTCCGCAATTTCCCACACATACATTTCTTTCCGGAAGACTTCACAAATATACTGACAGCTACTTGGAGTATCTAGTAATGCTAAATAAGTTCAAACAAGCGTGCTGCACCATGTGTAGCACGCGGCCATACAGAGGCAAACGGGCGTGCTGCACATGGTGCAGCACGCGGTACGCAATGGGTTAAAATCGGCTGGCGTGAGTTTCCTAATTAACACGGACTGGCCGAGCGATTCGCAGCGATGTCAGACGATTGAATTCGACTCGATTTCTCCCCACCGAGATTGTGGACTTCTTTGGCGTGAACGACGATGTCCTAACTGCAATTGGCCCCGCACCATCACCAACCAGTCTGGAAAAGGCGATCAAGAGAACGACATTCGAAAGAAGTTTGAGTGCAATCGTGCATCTTGTCGTAAGCCTGGAATCAGACGGAAGACTGGCTAACTTCAAGGATAGTAATGTATCTTCTAATGATCTCAGGATACATTTTTTTTGAAAGACGCTGAAGGCGAGGCCGGATAACTCTATTTTTGCGCTCGTTTACTTGTTCGTAAATATGCATAAGGGTAAAAGGAAGGAGAGCGGGCGTTCGGTGGCGGGGTTGAATTGTTTGGTTCAACGGAATAGTAAGGCTGCGACAGCGTTCAAGGCCGTCTTGTTTGGGAATTTCTTTCTGCTGTCAGAGATGTTATAAAATAGGAGGACCAGGAAAGATTGTGCAGGTTGACGAAACCTATATTGTGAAGCGAAAATTCAACCGAGGGAGGTTAGTACGAAACTCATGGTTAGTAGGGGGAATTGAAGTCGGTTCCAAGAAGATGTTTCTGGAAATCGTCAGCAGCAGAGACAGTTCAACTCTAGATGGAATAATGCTACGAAATGTTTTACCAGGGACCACCATATGGACAGACTCTTGGCGAGGGTACGGAAACTTAGGAAATATTGGTTTCATACATAGCACTGTAAATCACGCGCTCAACTTTGTGATCTTGTATGGCGTTCACACTCAAAGCATTGAATCGGTGTGGTCTCATATCAAAAGAGCGGTAAAGAAGAAGAATGGGCTAAGCGGGAAACTATGGGATAAGCATTTTATTGAGGCGGTATGGAAATGGCAACGGGCAAAAGAGTCGGGTTCTTTTTGTTGTGGCAAGCGATTGCCAATAAGTATCCATGAAAAACTGATTGCTATTGTACCTTTCTGTTGTTCTTTGCCTTCCAATGAAGTAATTAGCATGTAGTTATTTGTTTGTGTACGCCTAGGGGTTCTCCTAGCCCAATATATTTGAAGTACTCATAAAAAAGCCATTTCGTTAACTTTTCCATGAGCTTACAAGAGTTGACAGGTTTAGCATGACTTGACGTGCTTGCTCCAGTTTTACAAGGAGTAATAGGTTTGTCCACAGCGAGACTTGTAAACCGGAACTAGGGCCGGAGCGAAAGTACTACGTGGATGGGAGGAGCGGAAGTGCCACGTGGATGGGAGGAGCGAAAGTGCAAAATGCCCCCCCCCCTCCGTCGACTAACTGCGGCCGATGTAGGCCGTAAAATAGGAACATAAACGAGGTATTGACACTGCTCGCAGCACTCTTCTGTCCAGTGAAGTAGTACTTCCTAAAAAATCTAAATGTTTGCTAAACTCCGCCGTAAGGATTAATCAGAACGTCGACTTGACGAACGAATTTGGGCTGTCTGGCCTAAATTTGCCGCAACCTGGCGCAACCATCTTCTTCGCCAAATCCGATAAAAAAGCTGCATGACAGGGTAGCCTCAGCCTCGAATCACGATTATCAAAATTCATTGTCGAAATTACTCCGGAAATAAGTGCAGTTGGTCTTTGGGAGTAAGTGACGTTGCTCTTCCCGCCTAACGCAGTCTCAGCAAGCTGCAGATCTCAGAGTGCTCCTACGGTTGGAGGCGGCACAATGAGAATTAATGCATAGTAATAGGATTAATCAAATAAGCCCAGCATACAAAAAGCTCGACCTTGTAGATAGGCGGTGACATTGCTATTGGCTGCCAAAAGGTGCGGGCCAACAGTAAAGTGGTGACTGTTCAGGGCCACGGAACAACCTCACAGGGAGGTGTTGTTCAGGTTCCTGGACTACGCTTCTTTGGAAATGGTTTGTTGCTTTTTTAGGTGTACATACACAGTCCAAAAGGGTTTCATTTTGCTATGCGTTTGCTGGGTAGGTCAAAACGGAGTGAGATAAGAATTTGACAGAATGGCCGGTATAACAACCTAATGGCTCTTTCTGCTTGTAACTTCGAGCACATCATGCCATAGCTTTATGTGGTTGGTCACTGATAAGGCCTCAAAATAGGTTCGATTAAAGTCAAAATGTAAGTATCATGTGGTAACACACTTGGCATGCACCGACGCAAGAGTGATGTTTTTGTCAGCAAACCCTTCACCACCACTGCAAACGGATCGGATGGCGCAGTGGATAACACGACGGGTTCTGGATGGCACGGCAAGGGGGGACACTTTGTCCTCCTCGCGGGAAATGTTTTGCATTTTTCAGCTTTCCATTCATTCGCGTGCCTGTGTGTCTGGCAGTAGAAATAAGTCAAGTATATGCCATTTGAAGGCATATACTTGTGGCCACATTGTGGCCAGAAAGCGTGCTTGTGCTGCCCCTCGTAGTTCATGTCAGAAGGGTTATTGCAATGAAATACCATCACATTTATGTTCAGCGGGTTGGATTACCCCTGGGCTGATTCTAGCAGAGTCTGACTTTTCCACCTTACTCGAAATCATGTGGGACCATTCCTAGGGACATTTGGCACAGGCGGGTCCACCGATGGGATTGCTGGTCATGGGATGGTATTTTACTAGACAGTGACAGGACAATGGTTGCAAGCGGCCATACAAGTCGAGCCCGGTTTGTTCTTTGCCGAAAAGACATGACTGAAGGTTATTTCGTGCAAAGACCAGTCTCAACCACTATTGCTAGGGCGGGAGTATTCGGCTATCACCGGCGGGGTGCCAGGCGTGATATCTGCTACCGTGGCCCTTTTCTTCGAAGTTGAGCTCAGAAGCCTCGGGATTACCTTCAGGTGACGTTTCTCCGGGGTATTTGCCCCTGAACGACGAACTATCATATCTATTCGGTCAACGGAGAGAGCTGTGAGTCGGCGCTATGCGGTGCCAATTCTACGTGCGCAGCCCACCCGCCAAGAAGAAAAATAATAGCGAAGGACAGAGACCATATAGGCCGCTCAGAGAGTCGTTCACAAATTTCAAAGGGTATTAGGATTGCTCGGTAAGTTTTCATGCGTTTTGTGGCACTCCATTTTTGTACATTCATGCTGGATTTGAAAACCAATTTGCCTTCGCTTTCTCCTAGCACATCCTGTAGAGAATTTCTTGCGCTATCTGATGGTATAATTGCCGTTTCACCATTGCTTCGACTAACCCCTTTTTCAAGATTTTTTCAAGCATGTGAAAAGAGCACTTCGGACGATTTTTTTCTTCGACTATAAATTGGGGCAATCCGCAATCGAAACAGCTCAACAAATTAACCAGGTGTGGGGGCCCAATAGTGCTAGAGAAAGCACTGTGCGGCAATGGCTCAACAAATTTCGTTCTGGAGATTTCAGCCTTGAAGGTGAACCTCATAGCGGTCGACCTAAAGCAATATTGACGAGGATTTTAGGGGATTTTGAAGGCTGACCCATCCCAAACAGTTCGAGAGATAGCAGAAGAGTAGGCCTTGGCAAATCCACTGTTGCAGATGGTCTGGAACGCATTGGGAAGGTGAAAAACTCGACAATTGGGTGCCCCACAATCGGAGTGACCGGCAGGAATCGGCACGTCTCGAGGTTCCTTCTGCATTGCTTTTGCGCAGCAGAAACGACCTGTTTTTGGGCCGAATTGTCACCTGATGAAAATGGGTCATGTATGATAACAGGAGACGTTCCGGAGTGGTTGGCTTTCGGAGATTTAGGCGACCACGCTTGAGGTAATTTTCAAAGCCGAACCCTCACGAAAAAAAGATTCTGGTCACGGCTTGTGGTCATCGGCTGGTGTGATCCACTATAACTTTTTTCACCAGGCCAAACCATCACAGCAGAACCCTACTGTGAAGAAATCGACGAATTGTACCGAAAATTTTGTCAGATGAGCCAAGCAGCTTTATCGAAAAGAAAAAGTCTTGCCATCTCTTTGCATGACAACGCCCGCCCACACGTTTCACAAATCACTATCCATAAATTGAACGAATTGGGGGTTGAAGTTCTACCTCAACCGCCATATTCTTCAGACCTTTCGCCAACCGACTATCACCTTTTCTAACATTTTCAGAACTCCCTTGCTGGAAAATACTTCATCAATCAGGACCAGGCAAAAAAGCCTTAGTGATTTGTGATTTTCGACCACCAGTTTTTCATTTTGATTCGGAAGGTTTCTGCGCTGCTGTGACATTGGCAACAGTGGTGCTAATGACATGTTGCCTATTTTCGGACTAAAGTCCGGATTGAGTATTAAAAAAGTTAGCCATGGCGTTCAATGTTGGTGAATACACCCCAAAACGCTAGAGAACTTTGCCGGAACAACCTAATAGTTTTCGAGTTCACTGCGTCAAAACGAGGTACAATGATATGCATCACTGCACAATGGCCAGACTGTCCTATGGCTTTGTCCTAGAGTGACAACCTTACAAAACAGCAATCGTGTGGGAACACCTTAGCTTCGGAATGTTCAAGTTCTGTGCCGTTGATAGACAGATTCAAAACTTGTGCCAGCCAATGAGGATCTGAACGGCGGAGTCCGATTGTCCGTGCCATAGCCAGAACCCATCATGCTATCCGCTACGTAGTTGGGACTCTGATCGAAGCAAATGATCATGGATGGAGGCGCTGACAAATAAAACATCACGCTTGGGAGCGTCGGTGGCATGCCAAGTTGTTAACCACATAATATTACATTTTGGACTTTAAGGTCGAACATATTTTGAGGCCTAATTTCGGTGACCAACATAACTATTGCTGCTTTCGAAGTTCAAAAGGCAGAATGGAGCCGCAGTTAAGGTTTGTAAATCCGGATTCTTGTCAAATTCCTTTTCACTCAGTTTTTGACCTACCCAGAAACGCATAGCAAAAATGAAACCCATTTTTGTGACCCTTGTATGGACCCCTACAACAAGCAACAAACCATTTCCAAAAGCGCGTCATGACCTGAAACACTCCCTTGTCAGACTGACAGCAGACACATGGTACGCTCATACACATGATAGGGGCTGTATGAGACTTACCAGCCCCCAGATGTCAGATGTGTTCGTTGCGAGTCCCCCCGCCCAAACATGCCCGGGAATGGAGATACAGGGCCGTGAAACACGCTAATTCTTCCATGCTCCGCCCACTGCCTTTTTACGGCGCAGATTCCCGCCGTTCATAACATCCGTTGCAAGCGCGCGTGTCGCGTGCGGCTCCTTGGCACTTTGCCAAGTCCTTTAATTGCGCTCTCAAATACGAGTAAAACGCAATTTCCTGATGCGGATAACATTGGAGGTGCTACAAAATAAGAACAGAAGATGATGACGAGGGCCAGAACTCAAGAGCAGCTCGGCCTGCAATCTGCAGTATCCATCAAGGGCCGCGCATTCCCACAAAAGCATGAAAATAAAAACAGCCCAAGCGTCCCACTCGTTTGTTCTAAGTATTTCTATGGCTTTGGCGCCGGATCGTAGAAATTTACAGGCCAGTTTATCTAATTTGCCTTCCTTGATTTTTTTCATTTTTGTTTTGTTTACATTTACAGATTGTCGCTGTGGCTTCATTTCTAGCCGTTGTCACTCTTCATCTCCTGGTGCTACATGGGATTTGGTTGAGAGAGCATGAGGCAACACCCTTAAAATTTTATTCGCAGTCTAAGGAATTGCGTGTTGCTTGTATCAAAATAACGGTGTGCCGTTTTATTATTCAAACCCCAGTTTTTGGACGTATTGACGCACCACACTACCTGCGGCGCGCGTCCGGCCGAGGGTGGCTGGATTGCTGATAGAGAATTTCTGTGGCTGACCATAACAACTGCTTGATTCAGTGCTACAAAGTACTTCTTAGCTGCCCACCAGTATTCGACCTTTTAAATGTAACATTGTGGCCAGATGTTTGATGCTTTATCGCGTTCTAAAAAACACCACCATATTGATGAGAAATACGGGCACTTAGCGCGTTGAAAGAAGGTTCGGGCTGGGTAATAACATTATCCAAGTCTTGGTGGAAGCTACTTATTTCCTAGCGTTTCCGCTGAGCAGCTTTCAGTCCGTCTGCTGGTGGCCCTTATCACTCCTCACTGACAAACATCTTTAAGCTTTTACTTTTGGAAGAATCTTTAGAGTTTAGCGGTTGAATCAATTTGGTCTATATAGCTCAAGGATAGAAAGTGCCTGGCTCACCAAGCCTTTGCTCATCGATTCCTGGACACACAGTGGTGAAGCTCAATCGCAAGCAGAGTAGGGAGGGGAACAGATATTAACTCTAAGCCCTTGTCAGGAGCAGTATCACAACATGCCTCTTGTCGCCAAAGTCTCCCACCATGTTAGCTAAAAACGTCTGAATCACTTGCTGGAGGGCGTTAGTTCGGTATGCTACGACTCCGGTCTGCTGTTAAAGGCTGTTGTGTCCTATCCTGTTATAACGTCCTGCCACCCACCGATGAATCCCATCCTGCCCCCTATCGCGGACACGACACCTTACCGTCGCTGTGGCGCAATTGTATAATGTTGTTGAGCTTCCTTTTGTAAGGCCTATTATGGTATCTTATCAGCTGTTATCACTGCCTGCCACCCACCAATAATGTTCCCATCCCCCTGTCTTACTACTTTGGAATCCAAGGTCCCGGTCGTGTGCTGCTGGCCGTCGTGCCTATGTAACTTGGTGACCCTCCCCTTCTAGAACCCCCTGTGCTATCTTATCAGCTCTTATCAGTTCCGCCACCCACCGAAAATGTTCCCATCCTGTCCCCTATCTCTCTACTTGGATTCAGAAGCGCGCAGGCGCTTTTAGCTCTGGCCCTGGGTGTTCCATAGGGTTTGGCTCTAAACCCACTCTTTTTTGATTGGTCTTATTTCATGGGTATCTTATCAGCGGTTATCACTTCCTGCCACCCACCAATAATGTTCCCATCCTGCCCCCTATGTTGCTACTTGGATCCAACGTCCGGTCGTTACTCTGGCCGACGCTATGAATTTGGTGACCCTCCCCTTCTAAGACCCCCTGTGGTATCTTATCAGATCTTATCAGTTCCTGCCACCTAACAATAGTGTTCCTGTCCGATCCCCTACATCACTTATCAGGTATTGAGCGCTCGTGCCGCTCTTTGCAAGGAAGTTATGAATTTCGGTCAACAACACACACACCCACATACCACACACACCAACAGCAACTTTAGCGGATTATTAATATAGGATGTTTCGTGGGGAAATACGCGCTCCGAGGGATTTTGCAGAAGTGGCACAGGTTCGCTTTTGAGTTCTGACCTCAGTCATACACTTCATGTTCTTATTTGATGCCAACACCTCCTCCAGTGTTGTCCGCATCAAGAAGTTGCGTTTTACTCGTATTTGAGAGCGCAATTAAAGGACTTGGCAAAGTGCCAAGGAGCCGCACGCGACACGCGCGCTTGCAACGGATGTTAATGAACGGGCGTGGAATGGCTGGAACGCCCTTAAAGCACAGTGGCGGAGCATGGAATGAACTAGACGTGGTTTCACGGCCCCTGTATGATCTCCAATTTCCTGGCATGTTTCGCGGGCGAGACCACCGACACATCGACGATTTGGAGGCTTGGATGCCGTCGTCATACACCCACTGTGTATGAGCGTACTATGTGGTTCCTTAAGTGTTCCCAGTCCGAACAACCAGAATTCTTGAACGAAAAGGCCATTGGGTGAGGGAGTCGTACTCAGATGAAACTTGCTGTTACATGCTTTATGTGCCGACGCTATTAGATTCAGTATAATGCGACTCGCAATCCGTTTAGAGTTAGGTTCGTAAAAATAGGAAAGCAGAGTCACATTGAACACTCGCTGCACCACCTCCTGTCCAGTGAAGTAGTACTTCCCTCAAAAAATCTAAATGTGTTGCTAAAACTCCGCCTACAGGGCATTAATTAGGCAGGCCGTCGATTACTGTAACACATTTTGGGTATCTCTGGCTCCATCTGAGCTCCGCCACGTTTGGCCGCAACCGATTTCGTTCGCCAAATCGATAAAAGTTCCATGACATGGTTAGTCCTCATGCGCTCGATCACGATTATCAAATTCAATTGTTCGAATTAACTCCAAAATATACCGGAGTTGCCTTAAAGTTGAAATGTGGCGGTGTGTTGATTCCCTTGCCGCCAAGCCTCAGTCTCTGGGAACGGTCGTCAGGAGTCGAAGTAGCCATTTCATGATGGGGAGGATGGTGGATCACTCAGACGTGGTTTTGGCACGCTTGATCTTGAGTCTGCCTCAATATGCCCAGAAGCGGATCTCTGAACGGGTTATGGAGCTCGTTGTTTACAGCAACAGTCATGCGGATCGCGACTCCCGTTGCTTAAGCGTTAACTGCGTGTTGCGCAAACGTGGCAAAAAAGTGATTTGTCGCCACTAACTACTTCAGTTTCTCACCCCTCTCACCTGAGCTTGTCTGAAGAAAAGTTTGCCTCCATTTATTACTGCGCTTGGACTCCTTGTAGAAGCACTGTAGTGCACTGTAGTCTACAAGGAGTCCAAGCGCAGTAATAAATGGAGGCAAACTTTTCTTCAGACAAGCTCAGGTGAGAACTGAAGGTAGTAGTGACGGCAAAATCACTTTTTCGCCCCCCACGGGGGGTATTGCGCAACAAGCAAAAAAAGTTAAGCTCAGCGAGGATCGACTCCCATGACCTGAATTGCGTGGATTAGGCAGCGCGTTGCTCGCAAACTCCGCTTCAGAGGAATCGACTTTGTTGCCAAAAATTAACTTGAAGGCAGAATTCAAGATCAGCATTCCAAAACACGTCTAGTCCCGATCATACAGTACTCATTCCAAATGGCCCTTCGACGATTGACGAGCCTTCCCCTGGTCAAGCGAAAGCGCAGATTGATCCTCAGAGTGCCGTTACATGTGTAGGCGGCGCCACAAGATATTAGTGCCATACCGCTAATAGGCATATCAAATAAGAGGCCTAACGTAGTTCTGGGAGGGGGCCACGTGCGCCTCACGGCGAGCGCACTGCACTCTTCTGCTCCCAAAGAGAAGTAATTTTTGTGTTTAGGACGATGAATAGTCAAACTTCGCCCTATCCTATTAATTCAAAAGTTAAAACAGTTAACACTGAAAAGTGCAAAGAAACAGAGGCTCTTGCTTTTGCTCTTTTGCAAAAATTTCTACAAAATTTCTGCAATTGCAATTTCTTCTACGAAATGTGTTTGTTGCATATTGCGTGGACTGTTTTAGTTGTTTACGACAGAGAATCAAATTTTTAGCTTTCTGCGTGGAATTCTTCAGCAAGTTCCCGGTGAATCTTGTTTGTTTTATTCTGATTTGGCTGCTAGATTCGCGTTTCAAGTATGCCGATGAGTGAAGAGCCGATGAGTCATCACTCGCCGCGAGCCGCGTGGCCCCTCCCAACTACGTTAGCACCCAAATAAGCCCCGCATACAAAATATCTCGACTTTGGTAAGATAGGCGGTGACGCCAAATTGGCCCTATTGGCGCCAAAGGGTGCCGGCGTCAAGAGTAAAAGTGGTAATCGTATCAGGGCACGGAACAACCCTTAGATGAAGATTCAGCGAAAAAATCTCCTGTGATTCAGGGGTAGCAATAGCTCAACAGTGCCCAAGGCCCCTTGGGGAAAAATAAAAGAGTAGACTAATTTCAGACTTTTTATTATGTTCTCCATCAGACCCATCCATAATACCCGTATCAAAATGCACTTATAATGTGAACTAATGACCACTCTAAAATACAGTACACTTGAGATCCACCTGAGACGATCATTCAGAAAACAGACAAAAAATGAACACATTATAAATGAGCAAGATGATGATGATGCATTCTATACATAAAAGAATACGGTGTTCCACTATGAAATTTCGTTTGCAGTCTAAAAATAAGGTAGAATTCAGTTGTAAAGTGAGGTATAGTTCATAGGACCGTGGTCATGACGTTCGTATCGAGTCTCGTGCTGATACCATGCGAGATTGATCGACTGTTGAACATCCGTTAGTCACCACAGCCTTTGGTAGACAGTCGTATATAGTTTCTACTAGACGGACATATGTTCGAGCACGATCGCCCAGACCTCCCTAAAAAAGGCAGCCTTTGTGAAGGTGTTCAGATCGACTGGAGCAACACTCGTCCGCAAGGTGCATTGAGTGAGCGTGCGGTTGCGCAGTGGATCGCTCTGAACTGTATGCTTTGCGCCGGTGTACCGTAATATTTCAAAGGCATAGAGCACCATAATCCGTTACTTGCTCGAAATTGTAACATGGGTACCATATAGAGGAAACGACGGAAAGGCAACATTAAAGTGCCAAGACCGAGCAGAAAACCATTGGCTGCACGGCGTCAGACGAGTATCTTTGGACGAGTTTCCTGTTGGCTCTTATAGGTGTGGCTGCACTATGCTTGCGGCGGGCGCCTGAATTGCACCTCGGTTAGGGACTGTAACGGTGCCCTTGGTTGGAAAAGGTGCCACGCAGCGCCTGCTAAGGCTCAATATCTTCCGTGATGAGCGTATCAACCCGATAAGCCTTGTTCTCTTATCTTGCCACTTGCCCTAAAGAAATGACGCGCAAAAAGCATTGGTCACGATACTGTTGTACAGCTCATATTCCGGAGGTGAGGAGAGCGTGGCGGGATGTGTAGACACCCGCACAGAGAAGCGTTATAGTCTCCTACGAAAGACAGGATGACAGTTGAATCGAATGGAAGTATTCGGTGAAGGACGCATCCTACACCATGTCTGAATGAGGCGCGCTTGCTTCCTATCTCTGGTTATGGACCGGAATTCTCGCACATCACTCCTGTCACAGACCTTCCCCGAATTTATCCGCGTGCCCATCCTCACACCGTCTTGTTCGCTGCAGATGCGGGAGCGTGTAAAGGGGGGGGGGCGGACTGGGTGGGTGGCACTACAGGGGGGGGGCCAAAAAAAAGTCACTTTGCCTCATTGACTTTCGAGGCGCTATAAGTTACACTTTATCAAATTCTGATCGGACATTTTTACTACCATATTGAAGAGCATATTAAGTACTATCACGACACTCCGCCACAGCCTTCTGGACGAGCGCCATCGAGAGATTCTGGCACGCGATGTGGTACCTGAGATCAGCGGGGTAGTCGATTTCTCCGCCACCGTAGACCACCCTATTGAACTCCGCCCGAACTAGGTAATTGAGTGGGTTCAGGTCAGGGGACATACTTCAATATTACATCTTCTTCAGGTACGAAACGCCCTTTCCATTCAGTAGGCGGGAGTTTTTCCAAAACCCTTCGATTCCATGTGGTGGCACCCAAACGTGTAGCAGCACAAGGTCTCCAAGAAGGTACGGGCACCACATGTGTAGGGAGGATATTCTTCTCGAGTTACTTGATGTAACCGCCAGCGCTCACCTTCAGTCGGGGTCTACAAAGAAAATATCGGTCTTCCCATTCCAGGTACCCCGGTCCATACCATCAACTCGCGCCTCGGCGACTACGGTGAAGATGATGTCCTAGACCGTAGCGAAGTTGACGAAGCTGCTCGATGTTGGGGGTCATCCAGATTGAGAGTACTGGTCTCCAGGTAGCTATCCATGGGTGACTCCATACTACTATAATATAAAATCCGTATGTGTATCTGTGTGTGTGTCTGTTTTTGTGTGTGTGTGTGTGTGTGTGTGTGTGTGTGTCACGAAATTCATAGCGAGCGTCGCAGAAGAGATAGGATGACAGTTCCAAGAAGTGATATACATGGCAGGACTGGAAAACACTTTGATGGGTGACAGGAGGTGATGACACTTGATAAGATTCGATAAGGGGGCCTTAAGGGAGGGATAGGTGACTGAATTCGTATGCGCAAGTCTGCAAAACAGGTGTGGGGACCGTCTGATTTCAGGAATGATATACATGCGCAAGACGGAACACTGATGGGGGTGACAGGGGTGATACCACTGAATAAGATTCGAATAAGGGGCCTTGGAGAGGGCGTTGCAAATCTAGCGCAAGTGCAGCAGCCTGGCGGGGCCGTGATTTCAAGAAGTGATATACATGGCAGGACGGGAACACTTTTGGTGGGTGACAGGAGGTGATAACACTTGATAAGATACGATAAGGGGCCGTAGAAGGGGAGGGTGACTGAATTCGTAGCGCAAGTTGCAGCAGGTGTGGGACCGTGATTTCAAGAAGTGATATACATGGCAGGACGGGAACACTTTTGTTGGGTGACAGGAAGTGATGACACTTGATAAATATTCGATTAAGGGGCCTAGAAGAGGGGGGAGGAGGGTGCAAATCTATTTGCGCCCCAGTTGCAGCAGCTGCGGGACCTTGATTTAAGACAAGTGGATTAGTACATGGCAGGACGGGCAACACTTTTGGGTAACAGGAGGTAGCCCGCTCGTTTTAACACGGATAAGATTCGATAAGGGGCCTTAAAAGGGGAGGGTGACCGAATTTGTGGCAAGTTGCAGCAACGGCCAATGGCGGGACCATGATTTCAAGTACTGATATCCGAGGTTGTGTGGCTGGGCAGGAGCTGATAACGTCTGATAAGAGATCGATTAGGGGAACGGCGCTCGGAGGAGGGTCATCAAATTCGTGGCGCAGGTTACAGCAACAGTGGGAACTCAGATCCGTGAGGTGATATAGGGTGTGGGACGGGAACATTATTGGCGGGCGACAGAAAGTGATAACAGTTGATAAGATACGGTAAGCGGCCTCGGAAGGGGAGGGTCATCAGATTCGTAACGCAGGTTACAGCAACACTGGGACCTCTGATCCGAGAGGCGATACAGGGTGATATGATAGTGATACGGGACGGGAGTTTATTAGCGGGTACGAAGTGTAGAGCAAAATTGACAAGGGTTAGTATGGGACAACTCCGGTCCACGCTGCACAGTCAACAATGACTCAAGTTAACAATCTCAGTTGAATTCAATAAGAACTCATTCCTCACTGCTTATTAGTAACACGTCGTGTACGACCGCTAAGCCAGCTCTATTCCAAATGCATGTGGTTTGTTTACAGAGATGTTATGACGGCCAAGCAACTGACTTTATCTTCTATCCACAAAATTATCTTCCATTTCAGCAAACTTCGGTGAGCGGCCATTCAAAGGGCTTTCCACTGCTGAATGCGGTAGAGCATTCCAAAGCAAGACGCTTTAGGAAGACAGATTGCATAAATTATAGGCTGCTTCAGTGGCCGTATAAACAGGCTGCACTATTTCCGTGTAGGTTACGAACGTACCAGTCGGATCGCTGGCTAAGGCCGGCTTTCCTCCTTCTGTGATGCGGGGGGGGGAGGGGGGGCGCTGCTGCTGCTTCTGCGCCTTGACGGAACAAGCGCTGCTTTTCAGTTCTTGGCTGATGCAGAAGAGAAAAAAAAGATTCTTTTGAACGGTGTGGTTCGTGTCAACGACCACTTAAGACTTTAGGCACGCGGCAAGATCGATGGCCCGGCGAAAGCCGAGTCATGCCACAGAAGGAAGGGCGCCGGCAGACAGCGGCCGATCCGACTCCATATGCTAGAAGTTTCGCAGCAGTTTGGAGGTGACATGAGTTCCGAAGGTCTTCTCCAGTCAGGTTGCGACTGGAGATGACTTCATATTTTGGTGTACATGAAGGTGGTCCCGTGGAGCCAGCTCCTGCTTATCGAGGAACATCTTGGGTATCTTCCGCCCTGGTACTCGTATCCACGTCCTCTGTCTGGGCTGCAAAAACTTTGCTGATATGTGACTTGGTCAAAGTGACTTTTTTTGGCCACCCCTGTAGACCGTTTCCCACCAGTGGTTGTCGCTAGCAGGTGGTGGAGAACGGGTGTTGCCGCGCCAAATCCTGCACCCTAAAGGTCCCTTGTTCCATTTATTTGTTTAAAACCAGAGTAATCGAGGCTAGGTCCGCGGCTCGTCTGGAAAAGTCTATACCAGTGATAGATTTTTTGCTCAATGCGGGTCTATTAGTGCTCACCCATCCGTCCTCTCCCAAAACAGCGTTCAGTGTTTTGTGGCTTCACACGTACTGTAAAGGTCGTGGCATTGAATTTTTACTAACCCTCTTCCCAGACAAGTGGCACGATAAATCCTAAGACGTGAAGGATTAACAAGCCTAGCAGGAAAGGAATTGGGCACGTCTAAGCAGGCGCCTTGTAGCGGCTCTTCTGAGAAGGTACGCTTAGAGCGTCCTTCTAAGCTGCCAAGCTGGACGCCAACGGTGCCCTCCCGCCCACAAACGTCCGACCGATGCCAATGCTCAAGTCGCCTCATTTGCAAAATACAATATAAAGGGAAGGGATCGATATGAAGCGGCTTCGGTCTATATGGATACGCACATGCAGCCCACCTACCGTATCGGTTACTGGCACGATTCTAACGGGGGACTCATCCTAAATAGTTTTTTTTGATCCTGTAGAACAGATGCTTTTTTTGGAGTTTTTGACCGATTCACTTCGCCATTTTATTACACATTAAGCAGCCTGGCTACCATTTAAGACCGAGTACCCAATTATGGGGTTTGGTCACTTGAAAGTTTCTGCCGTCCCTGGCATGAAGTGCTCACGACCATAGCGAGCTGGGCCATACCAACCTTGTCTCACGAAAGGGCGTTGAAATGGCGTTAAAGAGTGGAGAAGTGAAGTAGAATTAAGAAGACCCAATGTGCAGGTTCCGATGGCTCGCCTCCTGTGCCTCTAACGGCGCCTCTAACAGCACTGCTAGCTCTGCGTTCTGGGAAGGTAGCCAACGCATTTTGCACAACGCGATAGCCCGCCCGTTTTCCACGTTTTGCGGCAGCGCCTTCTGTCTGGTTGTATTTGCACTGGGGATCAAGCTTATATCAAAAAATACCTTCAAACCATTGCTGAGGAAGGCGATCACCAGTCTGTTTTCTTCGTCCCACCTCAGATTCTGACCACCAAGTCCTGTGTGACCGATGAGACGGTGATCGACCTGAGAACCTTCTTTTGAATCTCGTTTCTTCAAGAAAGTCTTTGAAACTGACCCCGTTTCGCTTCAAGTGCATAACCGTCGTGCCACGACCTCTCTCCGCATGTGCACCCGTGACAATATCTTTAGTGATGATCAAATTTTCATTGAGAAGGTCCATCGTACGCTGAATGGACGAAGATTACCTGTTTTGCTATTGGTACTCGAGTTTGTTCTCCTACATTAGCATGGAGCTTAATTTACCCTACTGATGAGCTTGCCATCTATAAGAAGTTGAGCTAGTTTTGCCATATCGCGAGCAGTCCCGATGCCTAGAACAGCCGGTTGTTCCAATGCGTAGAGCTCTGGATTGTTCAGCGTTATTTTCTGAAGAGAAACAATAGATCAGTATGACAGTTACTCAAGGGGTCGCCAACGCGTACTCACAAAGATCGTCTGCAACCATGCTGGACTTGTCGCCACCTTCATACCGAGCCCACCTCGCAGGTATTGCTTGATGATGAATGCATAGTCGAGGCATTCTGAATAATAACTCAAGACAGAGTATTAGACAGAGTTTGGCTGGTAATAACACCTTGATGACACAGCTCGCGCTGTCGAGCTATTCATGCCTGTATGAGGTACCCAAAGCAGCAAGTGCACCACTGTCGAAGAGCCGAACTTTTAACTGCACCAAAGCAGGTAGCCCACCCACGAGTGCATCACTGTTGAAGAGCCAGCTCTGCGATTGTACCAGTTTAAGGCAGACAGCCCCCGCAACTGCAACAAAGGGCCTCATTCACAGGACTAGTGCGTGGGTGGACATGAAGTCATAGGTTTCTGACTCATGGTTGTCCACGCCTTCTGACGGTGACATAGGGTCACAGCAAGTACCACGCGGATGACAGCGGTCTCTCTTGTCTGCATGATCTCTCGATTTAGTCTTCTGGCCTCTCGTCCGCGCGCTCAGTGTTTCCCTCCCCCTTACAATCCTACAATGCTCAAAGTCAACGGCGGTAACAAAGGCACTATTAGAGGCATTTTCGAGGATTTTGTTTGTGTTTTATTAGAAGCCACATATGTAGCACTAATAACTTCACATTTGTACCTCAAGATATCGTGGATGTCGTCCCAAAGACAATCCCTGCGCTCATTTGATGTTCAGGCGCCTTCTCCGGACATGGTAGTTTTGTCTGCACGCGAGAGGCGCATATTACTTTCGCAGTCCAAAAACTCGTGAGAATTGCGCAGTCCGTTAGCGACGGAACCATGGCTCCGCATAGTGGCCAGAGCAACGCCCATGTTTCGTCTGGGAGGGCTCCAGGTGGTACGGTTTTTTCGCTACTAGCCCCTCTGAATGGCGAGCTGATGAGGAGGAAGAGCTGGCACCATCAAATGAAAACACGACCACGCTTTCAGTCGCCTAATGCGGGTGCGAGCGCATTCCAGCAAGGGTTCCTATATGGGACATTTCGGGCTGGTTTTTGGTGACTTTTTACTTTTGGGTAATTTACCGTGTTGTCATTTTTTCTGAGCCACATCACTCACAATTTTCAAACGAGGAGGTGCCCTTAGACAAGCTTTCGTATCAGGATGCGCCGTTCAATTAACCTTCGTTTCGAATCGCTACACCTTTGACGGGTTTGGGAAACGCATTCGCTGAGAAGAACCGAGGAGAGTTACCTGGATCGGTAATAAACTCGTCAATCCGGTCGATGACGGTCGGGCGAGTAATTCTGGCTACCCGCCATGCTTTTTCCATTGGTAAACCGAAATGGAGGTCCAGACCTAAAATGACCATCTATCAGCATTTCAACTACACTTCTCAGCAGCCCATTTCTCCAACAAAACAACAGACCGTGCTTGTCTGCGATTTCTTCTTTGAAAAACTGCCCGATCCCTCTCTTTTTATGGTCTGATCGTCGAATAATCTGATCAATCAGCCACCCATAGGATAACGCGTGATATCCCACGGCTTTGCCAGGTTCCCAAATTGGTTTCTGCAAAAGCTTCGCTATAACCCAACCTATTAAATGCACGAATCGCTCAGCTTACAGAATCTTCTATAAATTTAGCCATCCGTTCCGGATCTGCAGCATCTTCGTATGAAATCTTGCCGTCAAGGCAGGCCAATCCAGACTGAAGCAGCAATAAAGTCTTACACCTAGTTGTCTACAAATGGAAAGAAACGAACCGTGTGTGTTAGTATCATCTCAACAGTAATGTTCTCCTTTCCATTTTTAGCAAATTCTGGCCAAAACGAAGAGATTTTATCGGAATATCTTAAGTGACCCCGATCAACTAACATTGCAACGCAGATCGCACCCACGGCCTGAAATAGCAGAAGAATGGAAAATGAAACTGTTCCCCTCAAAATAATGGGCTCTATTTACCCATTACTGCTCCGAATTGCCAGACCAGTTTTTTCCGACGTTTTTCCCGGGGGCGGATTTCGCTGAGAATCCTCATGGGTAGCTCAACCTCTCTAACACGAGTGTCTTATCCGCTTGGCCCGAAACTGCCTGGCGCCCACATTACAGGCGACACCACCACTCGCCCACTTCAAAGGTATAGGGCACGATAATTTGGTACTCGGTCTAAAATGATAGCAGGGGTGCTACATACTGGGGAAATAACGAAAAAACAGAATTGCCACGGTTAAAAACCGCAGAAAGAGCCTTTGTTCCACACGACTCAGAAAGCAATTTTGGACGAGTTTCCCGTTGGCATCGTGCCAATAACCGCTACGGTAGATACGGCTGCACGTATGTACTCATATATCCATGCAGCACCGCAGCCGCTTCATATTGTACTTCGCAAATGAAGCGATACGAGCATCAGCATCGGTCGGACATTTGTGGGATGGCGGGCGCGCTGGAAGGTCTCGTCGGTATGTTGCAGTTTGATGGGGCGCTACAGAGACACCTTCCTCGGGAAAAAGTCACGCAGCACCTGACAGAACTGCCGAATTCTGTCCTGCTAGACTTATTATCCTACACGTCTCGGGGATTTATTGTGCCTTCAAGTATCATCTTGTCTTAAAGCGGTGGCTGCTGGTGGTTTCTAGCCATTGCGAATTGGGGGAAACACAGAGACGGAAGCGACACCATTTCTGATTCAATAGTGTTCTTTCTCCTCGCTTAGGCTCAGCCTTAGAAGAGGAAGGGAATTACTATTTCGAGGGAAGGGCGCAGACGAGTAAATAAGATCGCGCTGCCACGTATATTACCCTTTCCTAGAGCTTGATTCCCTTGGCAACCCATGCAGATGCGATATTCGTGTTCAGGATGTCGAGCTACCCCTGGCGGCAAGTTTTCAGAGAATTCGGCAGCCTAGAGTGTTTTATGCTATACGGTGGTCGAAGTACCCTTGCAAACGTACTTATTTTCAGCCGAATTCGTCCTCGGAGAAAAAGATGGTATAAACAGGTCTGATTTCAGAAGACCGGGGCAGTAGGGCAAATAGTGCCGAAGAGATAGATAACCTTAGAGGTGCTGAAAATGATCTGCAAAGTATCTTCTCTCCATCGCCGCTCAGATTCGCGGTCAGCGAACCCACCCCAGATGTCAACTACGCATTGGCCCTAAACAACATGCTGTTCATTCCGAACTGTCTTGGTACGAGACCAAGCTCCAACTGAATAATGCCGGAAATTAGTCTCATTTTCTAAGAGTACTCGGTTTTCTAGCAGTTAAATGAGGGTACCTGATAATACACACATAAGGCTGCACCATCGCGTTCCCATCCACGACGAAGTTGTTCCGTGAAGACGAGACGACAGTGTTGTAGTTTCCTGAAACCTGTGGATGTGATTGTGATGAAAGAAACACCGCAGTTTTGTCTCACTGAGCGCTATAGTACTAATGGGTAGCGATGTTCTACACATTAAGATCGCAAAATGCGTCATGACATGAGAATCAACGAGATCGAGTATCAGGCTGCTTTCATACTTTGCGGCAGCGTCCACCAGCGACAACCACCGTCCACCAACAACTAGAAAAGTGTAGATATCGGTCTAGCGAAAGCCAACGTCCAGCAGCGGAGAGTATTAGGAAGTAGGAGGGTAGCAGATTGCTGTTAGGGTATGGGGAAGTAGGAGGGAGCAGACAGTTGGATTAGGCGTCGTGAAATTGCGGCGTGTACTACCGCACCGTACAACTGCTAAAGCACAGAATTAGCAATTCGATGTACGGCACTGTGTAGTAGTACAGTGCGGTTGCACATACTGTAATACCACGACGCCTAACCCGGCAGCCTGCTCCCTCCTGCCTTCCCATGCTCTCCACTACTGGACCCTTGTGGATGCTGCCGTTCACAAAGTAGATATCTCTGCTTTAACCGTCGCTGGCGCTGACGGGCGCTCGAAACGCTGATATTGGACGGTGGTCGCTGCTGGTGGACGCTGCCGCGAAGTGTGAACGCAGCCTTAGAGGGCTAATGCCGTTTGGACT